AAGAATTCCGCTTACGCAAAACATTAACATTCCCAATTCACACCATGCAGACGTTGCTATTGCATCGGTGATCACACGAGGTTATTATTTATGTATGTGGGTGTAATACGGGCTGTGTAAACGTGGCAATAATGTCGCGTTTTTTTGTGAAGGAGTGTAAAGTGTACACCGCAAGATGATGATGGGAGAGAGAGGGGGGGGGGCTTGCTGAATCAACGATAGATTGACGAGCAATGCTAGGAGGTGGTGGTGGATTGAGGGAGGCAGGTAGCAACAGCAGGCGCAGCTTTGGCAGATGGAAGCGGGTGAGTAGATCGGTCCCGTGCATCGATAGCCAACGAGCAGCACTGGGGCCACCCACCGTTTGCAATGAGCAAAATGGCCCAGGCTTGTCTCCGATCCATTGTCCCGGGCCCATGACTAATGGCCTCGGCAGGAAACCATCTGCCTTAGTAGCGAACAATCCCTACATTATTACCCCCCCCCTCCACCTTCCTATTTGTTGAAGCCTGGGAAAGCAAAAGTGACAATTCTACCCAAATAAAGCCTGTAATTATCTTGCTGTTTGGAAAGGAAATAAATCAACACGTGGTGAATTCGACAATCATTAGTAAGTAAATCGGCACAATAACGATTTTTTTTTAAATAGGTAGCTAAATAGGCAGCTAAATAAGAACAACATTTTACTCTTGACTTGGGAAAATTGTGAAAGCATCTGTTTAAATAAGATTGATTAGCACAGGGAGTTTTTGTTTGCAGTATGAAACATAATTATTTATTTATCCTTGGCCATTTTTTATATCAATTATCCAGTTAGGGCTTCTAATAAGCTTTCGTGCACACAGGGTGGTCAAAAGAGTTTTTTTTTCCTTTTATATAATGAGACACCAATCATGTAATGCATAAATCCCTGCATTGATGTTATGGTTTAAGACCACCAACACAGATTAGTTGTTCCGAGTATTCAATTGAACTATGGAAAAAATGATTGATATGAGTGACTATGAAAAGTTTACATACCTTAATAAGTTCAAGACTGTTTCTTTTATTAATATAACATTCCCATACACCTTTTAAACTCCTGTATTTCCCTGTGAGTGTACGGACACGGTATACGTGTTGTGTATACCTGCTTTAGTCTGGGCGCGTGGCGGTGGTTGAGTACAAACAGAAACAGCTCATGAACAGACATTTGTGATTTAAAATTCAGCATTGGGATAAATTCAGCAGCGGTTAGTGACATTAGCACAACTGCAGGGAGTCAACGGTTACAATTTAGTTAGAAATGTGCGAGAAACCCACAGATAAGCAGGAAGGCAGCCAGAACTGGAGCCAACAATTGCCCAGGCTCTGTGGCACTATCTTGGGATGTTTGTCCAGCCCCATCAGTACAGTCTTTAGACACGTGGGAGGAATCCGGAGCACTCGGAGAAAACACACTCACGCAATATGGAGGCAACACTCAATCCCTGTACGAATGGAAACATACGGAGATTAAATCGCTCTCTGTCCTGCCATCTCCTGGCGAGCCAGAGTACGGTGACGTTGACGCTCTTGGGAAGGGGGTTTCATGGCATTTGAGCGATCCACCAAACCCTTGTCCTCCACAGTGCTGGATGACCGGTAAGCATAGCCACCCCCACCACCTTGCAGTCCGTACGCTGAAAGTGGTCATTCTATGGGGAGGCTTGTCCCAGCGATCACAATGTTGAATTCACACGACGTGTCTAGGACCACGAGAAGGGATGGATTTTTTTCCAACGGTCTTATGTAGCATGGGAAAACGTATTCAATACAAATAAATACTTTTAGATTTGAAGCTTTCGTGACTGCAAGCATTCATACTCTTTGTTTTTTTCGGTAAAGTCACGTAGGTAAAATAAAATAAATGAAAACAACTAAATTAAATCACGACGTTTCAGAGGCAACACAAGCTTCCGTCTTCAGGTGGAACAGTCACAGCAAAATAGCTGTATCACGTGATACAGCTATCACTTGATACAGCTATCACGTGATACAGCTGTTTTGCTGTGACAGCTATACAGCTATTTTACTTGATACAGCTATCACGTGATACAGCTATTTTTGCTGTGACTGTTCCACCTGAAGACGGATGCTTGTGATGCCTCCGAAACGTCGTGATTTAATTTAGTTGTTTTTATTCATTTTATTTTACCTACGTGACTTTACCGAAAAATAAATACATCAGTATTTTAAATACTGTACGGCTTTTCACGAAGACATTTGTGCAAAATACAAAAAGCAACCACAGTTACTTTGTTGTGTCATAAGATTCCACAAAAAAATATTGAAATAATATCTCTGAACGGTGCTTTTTATTGCTTTAAGTAAACATTCAGTGGAATAAACACAAAATAAAACATAATTCGTGCACGTTGTGAAAAAAAAAGTGTTTGTAGTTTTGAAGGAGGTGATGTTAAGATATGAGGGACATTACAAAGTTCTCAGGAAAAAAAAAAGTTGCAGTAAAATATAAATTAAAATAAACCAAAGCCGTTAGAATTAATCTATTATTTTCTCTTCTGCATTATCCCATGTTTCATTCCTGTTGGCCATGCTTACATAAAAAAAACGTAGCTGTCAGTTTGTAAACGGGCTCATGCAGCTTGAGTAAAAAATTATCTAAAAGATAGGAAAACTATTTACATACTGTATACCCCTGTGAACTTTGTAACTGCCAGTGCCAACTTTCTGTATTCACAGTCGAGAACGGTGGACTCCCAAATATGTGAAGCAAAAACTGAAGTTAAGCTTGCCGTATTAAATTTATATTTCATATTAGGATGGCAGATAGTGAAAATTAACTTACACTATTGTATATGAACACTCTTGTAGCCAAGGCAGTATTGAGTTGCAAGGTTTGTTGAAAAATGCTTTGCACACTTCCAAAAATGTGTGTGCATTATGACAAATAATGTTGCCGTAATTAAATAAAATCCTGGCACTGAAAGCTCGAAATGTACCCAACAGCACATACTGTCACAGTGCTTTAGATCCAAATGTGTCAAGAGAGATTTTCTTACGTTGTCTTTTTTTTCGTACCAGTTATACAGTATATATGTTTTCTTCGACTGACAAAGCAGCTTTTAGTTCTTGATCATTGTGGGAGCCGGCATCAGAGGAGATACACACACTATGAGAGATCATTTACAATGAGCAGCTGGCACATGTTACCACAGTTGCAGCCTTAATCTTTCCAGACTGAGCATGTGCTGTGATGTTGCAGAGATTGCATTAGGCTTCTAAACTTTTTGATGGCAGAATGGTCTTAGAACTTGGAGAAAAATGGTCAACAAATGGTCAGCAGATGTATCGTACGTTATGGTTCCTTTGCTTTTCAGCATACTGTAGCTGAAAAAAAAAGTATACTTAAGCCTCGGCAAGTGCCCTCCTAAAATGTTTAGCGTGGGCCCTGCCATCATAAAAATAAAGAAGTCATAAATAGCAGTGTGCAGTGTACTGGCAGTGAGAAAATGGACAAGTGCCTGCCTGTGGTTATCACTCTCCATGTCTCCTTGTGTCTTGCCTCATCTCCTTTTGCATCTGAGTCTGTCTCCGTGTATCTCGCTGTCTTTGCATTGCTCCGTCTGTATCTCAGTCTCTCGCCATGGCTATTTGTTACCCTTCACATCTCATTATTGATGTGTATCTCGCTCCCTGCGGCTACGGTTGTCTTTCTCCATGTCCCTGCTCTGTCTCTTGCTCTCTGTCTCTGTTTTTTTGTTCCTTGTCTACGTCTCATTGTCCCCCTGTATTTGGGTCACTCTCCACCTGTCTCCATGTCCATCTCTTTGTCCGCATTCAATTCTCTTTGCGTTTCTCTCCACGTGTCTCTGTTTCGTGTTCTTGTCTCACTGTTTCTCTGCCTTGCGATTGTATGTGTCTCTCTCTCTCTGTCTCCCATCTGTGAAGAAACTCAGCAGAGGCAAGCCAGATGGTGCTTAAATACATCGGTGGGACACAGAAGCTTATGGAGATTGGGGGAGACAGGGTGAGGGAAGGAGATAGTGATGTACGTATGTACGTTGGACTTCTTTTGCACCGTACGTAGCCAACCGAGCTAATCGGATGTGCGGCAGTCCACCTGACGCGGCCACTGAAATGCACACGAATGAGAAGATGGTAAATGTTGTGGCTTGGCTCTCCAACACACCGGTGTGCTGTACTAGTGACGAATTGGCCACGTTCTGTTTACGTGACAACGCTTACTCGTTGGCTGTGTCGGGTGGTGGCGGGTTTTAACGACACATTTATATATTTAGACGATCCAACACCCACCCCCCCAGGTCTCATGCGCACATCATTCGGGGGTTCACAAGGCAGCCGGGGAAAGCCTGGCGCTGGTGTCGGCAGTGCCCCGGGGGCGTCACGTGACGAGCACACCCAGCTGTGCGCACGCACCTGAAGGGCTCTTTTGAACCACACATGCAGTTAGGTAATTATATTGCCCCATACGAACAGGAAACTCAAATCTATGGGATAGCCTCGAGGCGGCAAGGTAATCTAGAGCTCGCTGCAGAGAGCACTATTAGTCAGAAATGGAATTCGCAAGGACTCGAACGTGTAGTGTGTTCGATTCAGCCTTGCAGTAAGCACCGGTAAGCGCTATAAAGCATTTGTAAACATGGAAATAGTAACTTGGGTTGCGATATTTTAGGTACAAAAAAATCGGGACATATGTCAATATTTCACTGTAGCAGAAGGGAGAACTCGATGTAAATACATTGTCTTGAGCGATGCGTTATTGTTGTTACAAAATTCACAAAACACTGGGAATTTAATGTATTTTAATGTCCGAGGAAGTCTAATTGCTACCTCAAACAGGAAGATCTTGGGGAAATCAGGGCGTGAATGAATGAACTGACGACGGACAGTGTGAAATACCGTATTTGGTCCTCAATCACGTTTTAAGATTGGTTGTTGTCAATGAGTGTGACTGCAAGTTGTGAAGAGCTGTATTTTTTTTTCTGACTGTGCAGACTGCCGAAGGGATACAAAGCTTTCTGATCTAAGTAGATTGGAAACGACGAGAAGAATGCCGTCACCGATGTTGTAGTTTACGAATGTGGCATGAGGCAGCAACACGCCAACACAAATCTTCGTGCCGTGAGGTATGCCGGCGATACAAATTGTGAGTCACGTTGTTTTTTGGAAGACGTATGTTCTTTAATAATGAGTGTGTATGCAATAATATTTATCTTGCGATGGTCTGTGTATAGTAATGCTTTCAAAAAAATTGCGTTTCTTGTAATAAGCCTGCAAAAGTGTAGCGTAACAGTCATACTTTTAATGTACTTTCAAATATTTCTCCATGAGTCATGAAACACGTGGTAAACGATATGCATGGTACCTTAAGTTAAGAGTTTGCTCACAGATAACTCTGGACGAATTCGTTTTCCAAGCAAGTCTGACAGCACAATGTTAGCGTTCAAGGGGTTAAGAATAAATCATCAGTCGTGCAAACACGAATGTGCATACTATTGTGTATAATAAGTACATTTCACTTGAGAGATTTCATTTCAGATATTGTGTATTAGATTAGGCATGTGTGTTCTGTTTGAATATACAGTGAACTAATTGAGTTTCCCCCTTTTGCCTCCAAGCAGCCGCTTACTCTCTGCTGCCAGTAATTGTGGCACAGCACTGCAACTCAGCAGTGGATTTATTTATCCTGAAGGGCTTGGCCATTATGAAGCTTGTTTTACTGTGGCGTGCAGGAAATGAAGGAAATATGGCCCAGAAGGTCATAAAGTACTAAAAGATCATTGTAGTAAATTACATTTTAAGGAGCATCTTGTCGGGGGCTCCCCCCCCCCCCCCTCCACACACACTCTCTCTCTACCTGAAATAATCCATGATAGATTTTTTTTGGGTGGTAATGGTCGCGAAAGCGCGCGTGTTAAACTACCTGAAAGAAGCCACACACGACCAACAGGCGTCGGATTATTTTACGGAGGAAATATCGCCTTGCGCGTGCGCCGGTCCCCTACTTTGAGACAAAAGAGTGTACGAGGGGGCTTGATTGTGCGCAGTAAATTGTACAGAAAGTGGGACGCAGCAGCTGGCGGTCCTAGCAAAGTACTCTCTGGTGTACTTTAGACACCGTAGGCAGACCCTGCAAGCAAGGCGCAGCACCGCCGACTAATTGAATCCTCGCACATTCAGTGTACGGCACAAAAGCAAGTAATTCTTTTAAAAGAGCTCAATCGCATAGCGCTGCAGCGATGCCGCTAATGTCTCACTTCGCGCTCGGAAATAATTAGTATTGGGTGTACAAATGATTCCTGAGCAACTATTGTCACCCATCGTGGTACATTTTAAGGAATATTCATTTTTAGTAAGCAACAAAGCATTATTGTCATTGCACGGCAGGAAGGTTATGCTAGAAAACGAGTGTTTTTTGGCATTGGTATAGCCCTGTGAAACATCTCCTCACTTATTCTATTTGTCACTCCCGAGTAGAACTGCATTGCCGTGTAATTGGCACCAACCGGCTATTTGGTCTGTAACCGTGTGAGAGATAGAAACGAATCAAAACGGTACGAGCGTGTTATTTAAAAGTGAGGATCGCTTTGGTTTCTGTAACCAGCGCCTTCTGCCAAATATTAGGCATTTGCATGGCAGGGCCTACTACGTATCGATGTCATCATGCACGTTATTGTACCACGTGGTTTAGATAGAGATGTGGTTCCGGAGGTGGTGGTGGGGGGGGTTGTTGCTTCACGAGGTCAGAGGGTAAAACCTGGAGGGCAGCAGGCGGCCAGTGGTCATGTTAAAAAATGTCTTCCACTACATAATTGATCGTGGCTTGGTGCTTTCACTGATTTGACATTTGACTTATTGGCATCATCCTATATAGATTGGCACGGTTGGCTACATACAGTGTGTAAGAAGTTCAACATACATACATTTTGTTGCATTATTTAGTCCAACCAGACCCAGGTTGTTGCCCACAATTTGTAGTCTGCAACTTTTAATTCAAACATTGTCCTGTATCAGTGCTCATCGGGAATTCACGTGACACGTTGCACGTGACATTTCGTTCGACCTAAACGATGGCCGCCCTCTTTCATCAGCAGGAAGGAAGATCGCAAGTCGGCAACACGCAACGCAAATGCGCTGGTAAATCTTGTGCCGCTTTCTCACATCGTTAATAAATGTTATTGCCACGATCATCGGCTCCATTAAGGCCTCCTGGTCACCGGGGAGAAACACTGCATTTCAATTAACTTCAACAATTCGTTCTTGTTTAAGAATTCTCATTGGTTTGTATAATTACATACAATTAACTGTATGTGTGTATATATATTTTTTTATATATAGAGAGCGAAATCTTCAAAAGATTTTTCCCATCTTGCCTCTGGGCTTGATTTGTTTTATCTTTTGTTCAAAGCTGATCTTGGAGAACTCCCCTTTTAAGCATCACTCTGATGTGAATGACAGCGGGGAATCACTCAGCCCGAGTTAATCCTTTATACACTAAGTGGCAGCTACTGATCATGTCTGTAGCATAGCTCATCATACGACGAATGTTCCTGCCATTTGAGACGATGAGGTCAACAATCGTAGGCATATTAAGAGCATTGAAAGCCTTACAATTATCACTGTTTGCAGTACTATTAGTGTGCAGTGGCTGTCGAATGATTTCTGAAACCCACGCAGTAGTAACTTCCGCACAATCCACGCGCTCGGCAAGCATTTGGATGCATGCCGTGTTCAGCTGTGCAGCAGCTAATGGGGATGAAAATAGTTACGGCTCGAAGGGCATGAAAACTCCTTATATATTGTTCTGAAATGTGCTTCATGATTCACCGAAATATTGTGCTTCATACTGCTTAAGCTCAGAGTTATTACTTACTGACGTTAATGTGTCTAGGGTGGGGAATGTGAGGCGCGCTGATGTTTTGTTATGGCTTTAAACATGCACGCATATTCCTTTGTTTGGCTTCTGGCAGCAAGTAAGGCCGCAGCAGATCAATGATTGTCTAATTCTGACACATAAGACAATTACAGCTGTAGGTAAGCTGTTGAAAACGTGTTAGCATATGCTGAAAACAAATTGGGTATGCTGTTTACACATTACTATCGTCAGCAAATGAGAATATCACTTTTCAAAAGTACCTGCCGATTTTGTCACTGTTTACACTTTTGGTCCTTCAGGAAGTTGTAAATAAAAAAAATTCAGGACTGCTCTAATACACTATTTAAGAGAAATAGTAATTATATAACATAGAAATATGAGTCAATATTTAAAGAAGACGAACAGTGAGGGAAAAAAGTATTTGATCCCCTGCTGATTTTGTACGTTTGCCCACTGACAAAGAAATGATCAGTCTATAATTTTAATGGTAGGTTTATTTGAACAGTGAGAGACAGAATAACAACAAAAAAATCCAGAAAAACGCATGTCAAAAATGTTATAAATTGATTTGCATTTTAATGAGGGAAATAAGTATTTGACCCCTCTGCAAAACATGACTTAGTACTTGGTGGCAAAACCCTTGTTGGCAATCACAGAGGTCAGACGTTTCTTGTAGTTTGGCCACCAGGTTTGCACACATCTCAGGAGGGATTTTGTCCCACTCCTCTTTGCAGATCTTCTCCAAGTCATTAAGGTTTCGAGGCTGACGTTTGGCAACTCGAACCTTCAGCTCCCTCCACAGATTTTCTATGGGATTAAGGTCTGGAGACTGGCTAGGCCACTCTAGGACCTTAATGTGCTTCTTCTTGAGCCACTCCTTTGTTGCCTTGGCCGTGTGTTTTGGGTCATTGTCATGCTGGAACACCCATCCACGACCCATTTTCAATGCCCTGGCTGAGGGAAGGAGGTTCTCACCCAATAGTTGACGGTACATGGCCCCATCGTCCCTTTGATGTGGTGAAGTTGTCCTGTCCCCTTAGCAGAAAAAACACCCCCAAAGCATGTTTCCACCTCCATGTTTGACGGTGGGGATGGTGTTCTTGGGGTCATAGGCAGCATTCCTCCTCCTCCAAACACGGCGAGTTGAGTTGATGCCAAAGCGCTCCATTTTGGTCTCATCTGACCACAACACTTTCACCCAGTTGTCCTCTGAATCATTCAGATGTTCATTGGCAAACTTCAGACGGGCATGTATATGTTCTTTCTTGAGCAGGGGGACCTTCCGGGCGCTGCAGGATTTCAGTCCTTCACGGCGTAGTGTGTTACCAATTGTTTTGTTGATGACTATGGTCCCAGCTGTCTTGAGATCATTGACAAGATCCTCCCGTGTAGTTCTGGGCTGATTCCTCACCGTTCTCATGATCATTGCAACTCCACGAGGTGAGATCTTGCATGTAGCCCCAGGCCGAGGGAGATTGACAGTTCTTTTGTGTTTCTTCCATTTGCGAATAATCGCACCAACTGTTGTCACCTTCTCACCAAGCTGCTTGGCAATGGTCCTGTAGCCCATTAAAGCCTTGTGTAGTTTAACACGTAGGCTTTCGCGACCAATATTATTCATAATAAAGGTTTTGGGTTAGATCTCGTTATTTATAAATGTGTCGTAACCCTCCACCACCCGACACGGCCAATCAGCAAAAAAAGTGTCACGTTGACAAAAGACAATTATATTCTTAGTTTTTTCGGTAAAGGTCACGTTGAAGAGAAACAACAACGTGACTTTACCGAAAAAACTAAGAATATGAATTACTGCAGTCACGAAAGCTTTAAATCAAAAAAAGAAAATTAGTTCACTACTTTAGCCCACCGGTGTGTTGAAGAGTGAATCCACAATATTTACAGTTTGAATACGACGTTTCGCTGGTAATTACATCCAGCATCATCGGGCAATTCGCCAGAATGGTAAAGCCCTCGCTTGCTCTCGGTCTTAAATAGAGCAGCAGGGTGACGTCATCATTTCACTAATTTCAGGTGCAGTGATTTGAGGCGGAGGGGGGGGGGGTATTGTAATTATATAATCGATTGGTAATCAGTCAATGGTTATGATTAGTAATGAGTTGTAGATTAGTAATTAGTTGTAATGTCTGTTATTGTGATTATATTTTACATTAGTAATCCGTTAATTAATGTGTTTCCCCTATAAGGAATTGTAATATGTATTATTTAATAATACGCTTCCAAGCCGCACTAAGCCTGTAGCTATCAGAACGATTAAAGTTATTTCTGTTTCTCTCAATTTCAATGCATTCTCTAATTAGTCTTTGCCAGTAATAATTAGTTTTACACAACACTGCAACGTTATCAAAATCAATTGAGTGTCCTTGTTGACAAGCATGTTCTGCCACTGCCGACAGTTGTGTTTGAGATAATTTAATATTTCTTTGGTGTTCTTTTAGTCTTATGCTGATTTCACGTCCCATCTGTCCAATATAGCATCTGCCACATAAACAATTAATCCGATATACATCTTCTGTTGATAATTTAGGTAATTCGTCTTTAGTGCAAGATACTGGTTTTTGAATTTTGTGTGCTGTACCAAATTTTACTGTATTGTTTTGCTTTTGCAAAACACGGGCTAATGTGTCAGTTACTCCTGAGATATATGGAATTTAAATTGTTTTAAGAATCTGATCGCTTTCAGCAGTGTTGCTTTGCGATCGTGATTTGGCATTCAGTGCTCTGTTATTTTGAGTATTATTGTAGCCATTCTGTCGTAATGCTTCTTTAACATGTTTCTTTTCTCTCTCACTAGACTTTCACCATCTGACACTGTTTTTGCCCAATGTATGAGCGTCTTGATAAGAGAGGATTTCTGAGCTGGATGATGATGCGAATCTGCATTCAGATAGGCATCAGTGTGCGTTTGCTTTCTGTAAACGCTGTGTGTTATATTACCGTTTATGCCATGTCCAAGCAAAATATCTAGGAAAGGGAGTGTGTTATTCACCTCCATTTCCATGGTGAACTGGATGGCCGGGTTTTGTGTATTGAGATGATTTAGAAAATCATTAAGTGTATCATTACCATGTGGCCAGACAACCAAAGTGTCATCCACATATCTAAACCAAAAATATGGTTTTAACGTGCTCGAGGCAAGTGCTCTTATTTCAAAGTTTTCCATATACAGATTTGCTATAGCAGGAGATAAAGGAGAGCCCATTGCTGCTCCTTCCTTTTGTTTAAAGAAATCCCCTCTCCATAAGAAGCAAGTGTTCTTTAAACAATGGTCAGCAATTTTCGGAATATCTTTTGGTAAACCTGTATTCTTTACTAGTGTATCAAGTAATTTAAGCGATTCGTTCACTGGAACCTTAGTGAATAGAGAAATCACATCAAAACTTACCAGAATATAATTAGGATTAGGTTTGATATCTTTAATCACATTCACAAGATGTTCTGAATTTCTTACGAATGAAGATGTCCTACCGATGTAGGGCTGTATTTGTTTAGTTATATATTTTGCTAAAGTATATATTTGGGCTAAAGTAGTGAACTAATTGTCTTTTGTCAACGTGACACTTTTTTGCTGATTGGCCGTGTCGGGTGGTGGAGGGTTACGACACATTTATAAATAGCACGATCTAACCCAAAACACCTTTATTATAAGCCTTGTGTAGGTCTACAATCTTGTCCCTGACATCCTTGGAGAGCTCTTTGGTCTTGGCCATGGTGGAGAGTTTGGAATCTGATTGATTGATTGCTTCTGTGGACAGGTGTCTTTTATACAGGTAACAAGCTGAGATTAGGAGCACTCCCTTTAAGAGTGTGCTCCTAATCTCACCTCGTTATCTGTATAAAATACACCTGGGAGCCAGAAATCTTTCTGATTGAGAGGGGGTCAAATACTTATTTCCCTCAGTAAAATGCAAATCAATTTATAACATTTTTGATATGCGTATTTCTGGATTTTGTTGTTGTTATTCTCTCTCACTGTTCAAATAAACCTACCATTAAAATTATAGACTGATCATTTCTTTGTCAGTGGGCAAACATGCAAAATCAGCAGGGGATCAAATACTTTTTTCCCTCACTGTATGTAGTTTTAATGGCAGCGATGGCATGGTGGTTCTGGCATTGCACTAGAAATCCTGTGAGCTAAGTTCCATTCCCGGCCACAGCTAACATCAGTGGTGAGTGATATCTG